TCACCTCTAAGGCATTAGTTTTGACTATCAGGCTATCCAACTCGATACATGATTTGCCGCTGAACTCTCTATGTTTTTCCACTTCAGCGTTCAAGGCATGCACCTGACTTGTTAGCCGTTCACGATCATTTCTCACTTGTTGTAGCTCTTCCCGAAGACACTTGATGTCATTTGTCAATGTATCTTTTTGTTTCACTGCCTCCTCTAATGATGCCTATATGAGATAATCAAAAACATGATTCTGTGCCACTTATTTTCTTGACAAAGTGCAAATTGTAGCAGCAAAACACAAAATTAGATTACTTAAAGAACTGCACACAAGTATGAACTTCTTCACTAGTATATATAGGTTTGTGCAATTCAAAGATTATGAAATCTTACTTTCAAAGATTTTAATTGGTCCTGCAGCGTCTTGTTGTGACCCCTGAAAGTGCTAAGATTCTCAACAACTGTCATTTTCTCCATTCCTACTCTTTTGAGTGACTCACTGGTCGAATCAAGGTCAGCTTGGAGTTTACTATTATACTGTTGAAGACTAATATTATACTCTTGTGCCCTCTTGTACAAATCTTCATTAGAGGCAAGCTGTATAATTTAAAGAATTGGGTTAGTATAAATCAAACTTCAATAAGAAAACCCAGGTAAGCAAATATCCATTCTTGAAGAACATGCTAATGAAATAAGCTATGTTACCCTCTTTTCAGCGGCTAATTTCTCTTGGAGAGCTTTCTCTAGGTTGCTTGAAAGAGAAGCTTGCAAATTCTCTGCTGCAAGTCGGGCATCTTTCTCTCTTTTATGACACTCAATTGCATCCTAAATGTAGCACCATAACAGGGGGAAGAAAACGGGGAATATATAAGGACCTATCGGCACACAAGAAAACAAATAAGCATGAACATCTATAAACCTACCAACTTATCAGATTCTTCTTTGGCAAATTTGTCTTCCAATGACGAAACATTATTCCTTAGCTCAGAAACAGTAGAAGATAATTCATCCTCTCTTTCTTTCATTTCCAACTCTGGGAAAACACAGGTGGAACAACAAAATGACATAGGATTCCTCTTTAAAACCTTAAGAAATATGTATCAAATTATTGGCAGCAGTAAGATCCCATGGAAATCAACACTGAAATTACCTATAGCAGAGCACTTTTTCTCAGCAGATTCCAGAGAAGTTCGAAGTCTTTCCTCCTCAAGAAGATGACTTTCTTCGACTTGTTGGAACCATTTGATGCAAAGCTTAAGCCTCTTATTATGATCAGTCAGTTGATCAATTTTTCCCTAAAAAATGGTTGTCATGTCAGGAAAAGTCAAATCACAGCATAAACAAAACCGCTTTGGACAAGAACATGCAAGAACTTTAATTATTGAAAAGAACTTCTCGTATATAATTTCATTCATCCAACCTTCGTGTCAAATTTCTTCCCTTTAAACTTCTCGCTTAACAACGCATCAACCTCTTCTTTTGTGAACTCCACGGTGCCACATTCAGAATCCTCGGTGCTACACGCATCATTAGCAGAAACCCCCTGCCTATTATTAACATCTACAAACGGCTGTCTTCCGCGGGCACCTGCTGTAGGCCCTAACATTCTTCCAGCTGCAATCTTCCTCCGTTTGTCGAAGGGAACATCATCTGGAATATCCTTCTTCTATACGATTGTTTCAAAAAACAGTCATGACTTGAGCAATATAGTATAAATTAGATTTGTAAGGCTCCAAAACTCAACCATTTTGAACTCCACACAGAAAAATAGCTCTAAACCAAAACACCATATCAAGTCAAAAAATCAGGATGTTTCCATTAAAACCACTGATTCCAACTAGTTCTTAGCTTTTAGTTCAGTTATATAAAAATAAACAAATCAAAAAGGTTATCAAGAAACCCTCGATTATAACAAACTGATGAAGAAATAAAGTTGTATTTGTTCATTCTCTTATCATCCTAACAACCATAACAAGATCAAAGAGTAGACTCGGAACTTACAGCTGGACTACGAGGAGCCCTATTCTGGTTACGAGATGCCATATTTCTTCAAATCCAGAAAGAATCGAACTCCAAATAAGTCCTGGATGGTTGTTCCCAGATGGAATCCGGCGGCGACGGAAGATATCGATTGACGCCGGAAATTCCACTGACGAACAGTTGAGAAGCTCTGGGAGTTAGAGGATGAAGAGAAATGGAACGTTGAGATCTGGTTCCGGTCTCTCTCGGGTCGAAGAGGAGAAAAAGGGCATACAAGATTTTGAATTTTGAATTGGCGGAATGTTAAGCCAACACGCGCTCCTCAAGAGAGACGTTACTTATTTGGGCCGGGCTCTTCATTGTTGGGCCGCACTGATTTTCCAGGCCCAACAAATACAATAATTTAACTTACCCATAAAATTTTAAATTTTTACCAATTTTTAGAAGTTTTAATAGCGCCAAATTATTTTTATAACTATTATTTACACATTTAAAAATTTGTTCAATTTTTAAAGAATAAAATTTAATTTATGACAACGCACATTCTCATATTTCCCAATGTAGCAATAAAATTATAATTTTATAAATATAACAATTTTCTAAAATTTGCTAAGTGTCTATTTAAATATATATATATATTCTATTTTTATTTAAGAATTTTAGGGATGAGTTATTCAATAAAAATAAGTATGGTGGCCAAAATCACACAAATGTTATGAGAGACAAGACAAGTACAAATCCACGTGGCGAAATTCTAGTGGCCAGGCTGGAACCTATCTTACTTGTCCAATGAAGAAGAATCACTGAACACGTGTAATTACACAATTGGTTAAGACCATATCCAATTTATCCAACTAGAAATTTGGCAGATAAGGTGGTGTCCCCAATTACTCTGCGTCACATAAACAAATATACAAATCTGCAACTCTCCACCAATATAATTCTCAACCAAAAGAAGAAGGTAGCTGATCATAAGCTATGGCGTCAATGGCAGGGCTATGTGGTTCCTCTCAAGCTGTGTTGGAAGGTAGCCTTCAAATCAGTGGCTCCACCCGCTTGAGTGTGGCTGGCAGCAGCAGCAGGCTCTCCGTCCCCCGCTCTGGTTTGATGATCAGAGCCCAGCAAGTGCCTACTGAGCCCGAGACCACCCGTAGGTCCGTCCTTGGCTTGGTCGCCGCCGGTCTCGCCTCCGGCTCTTTCGTTCAAGCCGTTCTCGCTGATGCTAAGCCCATCAAGCTTGGTCCCCCGCCCCCTCCCTCCGGTGGACTCCGTAAGTGCTCGACATTAAATTTACCATAACCCATCGACTTAAATAACAATGGTTTGATTCTTTTAGCTGGGACTTTGAACTCGGACCAGCCACGAGACTTGGACCTGCCCTTAAAGGAGCGATTCTTCCTGCAACCACAAAGTCCAGAATTGGCCGTAGCCAGGGCGAAAGAATCAGCCAAGGATATCATCAATGTAAAAGGATCGATTGACAAGAAGGCGTGGCCGTTCGTTCGAGACGACCTTCGTCTCAAGGCGGAGTATCTCCGTTATGATCTCAAGACAATCATATCTGCCAAGCCTAAGGAAGAGAAGCAAGCCCTTAAGGACCTCACAGGAAAGCTCTTCCAAGACATCAACAATGTGAGTGTTGTTTTACAGCGTTGAATCTTGAATTACTTGTGTTGTTTCTGACGTTTTGGTTTGAACACTTGCAGTTGGACTATGCAGCAAAGATCAAGAGCAGCTCAGAAGCAGAGAAGTATTATGCTCAGACAGTGTCGACCCTCAACGATGTCCTGTCCAAGCTCGGTTAGAAGAAGAGCGTTTGCTGTTAATGTGATGTACGAATGTTTTGTGAACATATGCGAATGTTATATCAACTCAATTTGGTTTCAACTCTCAACTCAATCTCTTTTCAAGTTCTTAGATTGCTTTGTTTATTTTGATCTGTGTTTGATTGTCAAACATTTTAGTGTCTTGAAGTAATCTCGAGTACGGAATCAGATTTACCATAAAACGAATGACCCATGTACGAGATTCGGACTAGAATTTGAAATCTTAATTTGATACCTGGTGACCTCGACATTCTCCTACGACATGGTCTTGAATTGGTTCTAATAGTGAAGATCAGGCTCATAAACCAACGTGGATTCTTTTAGCATTTTTTGTTCTAACTCACATGCTTCTTAAAAAAAAAAAAAAATTTATAGGAAGTCATCCAATATAGAATTGCTCAAAGCTAAGCATACTTGTGAGATCCCACAATGGTTGAAGATGAGAACGAAGCATTCCTTAGAAGGGTGTGGAAACCTCTCCCTAGTAGACGTGTTCTAAAACTATGAGGTTGACGGCAAAACGTAACAGGCAAAAGTGCACAATATCTACTAGCGGTAGGTTTGGGCTGTTACAAATGGTAACAGAGCCAAATACCAAGCGATGTGGCACCAAGGAGGTGGATTGTGTGATCCCACGTCGGTTGGAGAGGGGAACGAAACATTCATTATGAGGGTGTAAAAACTTTTCCCTAGTAGACGCGTTCAATTGGTACACCAAAGGTGCGTCCTAGGGAAAGGTCCTCTCAATGAAATTGTGAGGCGGACGACGATATGTAACGGGCTAAAACAGACAATATCTACTAGCGGTGGGCTTGAGCAGTTACAATACTTAATTATGACGTTCTTATGATTGAGTTACCGAAAAAAGAGGCGTAGTTCTTTTAAGCATTTATTAATTATTGGATCTTCATAATCACTCTTCATTCAGTTATGTCTCGAATCATTCATGTACCTACTCAGTCTTTTACACAAAAAAAAAAAATTCTTGCTAGATTTTACATGTTTTGCATTCTTGGAGCAGTTGCATAGCGATGCTTAGATTTGAATATGCTTCGGTGCATATTTAGCCATGGATGTTCAATGGAATCCTTTACCAAACAGAGTTCTCAAAAAGAAAAAGAAAAATGGATGTTTTCCCATGTGAAGCAGATTCTTAAAGTTGCTTAGATTTGGCTGGCAAATGTTGGAACAGGAAAACAACAGATGTTTCCAACATGAACTAAGCTGTGGACTCAAAATTTCATAAAGAACCAATAAATTTGAAGTTATTATAATGTCATTACAGGAGGCAATGGGTGTCAATTGGGTTAAACATGTGGAACAGAAGGCTTTTCTTTGGATTTCCTCTCTTCCTCTCTGTAAGCTGCTGTGGCAGAAACATAGTAAGCGACAGTACAGAGCCCATGAATGAAACACACAATCCCACCGATCAAAAACAGCCCATGACTTGATATCTTACAAGAGTTTTTCCTCTTGGAATTGTCCACCGTCCCCGCCACCAACATTGAGAACCCAATAGCCAAAGTAATCCTAATTTTCCACCCAAAAACACAAACACCTCCATCAATTTCAAATCATTCAAGATTGCCTAAACTGAGTGAATTTCCAAATGCTTGTTTTGTCGAGGATGGTTGGGAGGAAGTCCACTTTGGCTAATTTAAGTAATCATCATGGATTTACAAGTAAAGAAATACATATCCATTGATATGAGGCCTTTTGGAGAAGCTTAAAGCAAAGCTATGAGAGTTTATGCTCAAAGTGAACAATATCATACCATTGTGGAGAGTCGTTATTCCTAACATGGTATCAGAGTCACACCCTTCATTTAGCCATGTCAATAGAATCTTCTAGTGTCGAACAAAGAAATTGCTAGCCTCAAAGGTGTAGTCAAAAGTGACTCATGTGTAGAACAAATAGTGCACTTTGTTTGAGGGCTCCAGAAAAAGGAGTCGAGCCTCAATTAAGGGGAGACTGTGTAGTCAAAAGTGACTCATGTGTCGATCAAATGGTGCACTTTGTTCGAGGGCTCCAGAAAAAGGAGTCGAGCCTCGATTAAGGGGAGGTTGTTCGAGGGCTACATAGACGTCAAGGGAGGCTCTATGGTGTGCTTTGTTCGAGGGGAGGATTGTTGAGGATTGTTGAGGATTGTTGGAAGAGGCCTTTTGGGGAAGTCCAAAGCAAAACCATAAGAGCTTAAGCTCAAAGTGGACAATATCATACCATTGTGGAGAGTCGTTATTCTTAGCATTCAATCGGTTGAACCATGTTTAAAAAACAAACTATTTTTCACTAAACTTGAAATGATAATGCTCAAAACGCTAGGAGAGGATTGATTTAGTGTAACGGAGACTTACCATGAGAGAATCATGAAGAGCAATCCCAATCGCCTGTTAGCATTTGATTGCTGGAAATGTTGCATATTCCTAATCCAAATGCACCCACCAAGCACTTTAGCAATGGCATGAGCGAGGCCAAGCAGAATAGTAGCAGCCAACCCCTGAGAAAAAGCATCATCTCTCGGCTTTCTGCTGCATTCATACACCCATAAGCTCTCCGATTGTAATTTCACCTGATTGAGGAAATACGTCGAACACTTAACGTGCATACTTAAAAAAATGTCTACAGAGAGCTATACATAACGATTTCTTTTCACTTCACTTCAGCATTACCTGATTCTGAGCCTTTTCAGCTCGAATGGCAAGCAATCCAGCAACAGCGTCCATTACCATGACCAAAATGCAGACCAGAAAGCCATAATTTCGCGCCATATCTACAGCGAAATTCAGAGCTCTTCTCAAGATTTGTGATCGGGAATAAAGGTTAAGGAGGTCAGAATTTGAGAAAGGAAGATGGAATAAAGGAAACCCATGATTGCACTATTACACGTATGGAAGGAATCATCTATGGAGACAAAATTTACAGGAAAGCTTCTTTCCTTTCTGTAGTTATCCCTCTTCTTTTTGGTGCAGATGCCTTCCATGGGAGTCAAGGAATGAACAGGATCCCAAGAAATTTTCTAACGCTTCCAGATTCCTTAGTCCTATCATCACAGCTCTGGCAAGAAATCAGCAAAGAAATGAATTTCTCGGTTTAAATAAGCAAAGAAAATAATTGTACTTCACGCGAGTCCCATATTAGCTGATCAAAGAGAAGATAGTCTTGTTTTCACTTATATAATTCGTTTTTGGAAAAACTTTTTTCAGTCAATATCATTTTTTACTCATTAAGTATCGCTGTCAATCTTATAATTTTAAAACGCGTCTACAAGGGAGAGGTTTTCACACTCTTATTAGAAATGTTTCATTTCTCTCTCCAACCAACGTGGAAACTCACAATTGTTCTTCGTCGCTCATTAGACGTTGACTATAGATTCTTTGGTTAGCTAACCTACGTTTTGTTGAGAAATGTTGGAGTCTCGCATTGGCTAATTAAGAGGAACATCATCGGTAGTATATAAGCGAGAGACACGATCTCCATTGGTAGCCTTTTGGGGGAAACCAAAAGCAAAACCACGAATGTTTATGTTCAAAGTGGACAATATCATATCAACGTAAAGGGTCGTTGTGTTCTTTTAGTGGTATTAGAGTTATGCCCTTATTTTAACTTAGTCATGTCAATAGAATCCTCAAATGTCGAACAAAAAAAGTTGTGAGTCTCGAAAATATAGTCATAGTAACCATATGGTGTACTTTGTTCGAAGGGAAGATTGTTGAGAATTGTTAGAGTCTCACGTTAGCTAATTAAGGAGAAGATCATGGGTCGTGTATAAGTGAGAGATATTATCTTCATTGGTACGAGACTTTCCGAGAAAACCAAAAGCAAAGTCAAGTCACGAGAGTTTATGTTCAAAGGAGACAATATCATACCAATGTAAAGGGTCGTTATTCTTATCGCGTTTTACGATTATACACCAACTTGATATTGTGTTAGTTTTTCATTCCCTTGATTTCACCTTCTTATTTACTTCGATCAATTCTTTATTTTCACTAACTTCAATTGATTTTGGTTTCTATGTTGATTACGAAACTTTGATGGGCGATGATGTGATCCATAATTTGCTTATTTCTCAATCGTGTAAAAACGTGAGTAGGCTCCTCGTCTCGAATTGTTTTATTTCATTTTTGTTTTGTCGGTACAGAAAATAAGATTCTTATGCTCGTAAAGTTGAATATGTGACTAAAGTATATCAATGATATAATACTAATATTAACATAAACTTTGAATCTTATCAGATTTTTGTACGAACCATGTTGCTTGGTTTTTAACTTTAGTTAACGATTATGTTTTGTATATTCGTTAATTATTATCTCTCTTCTTCTTCAATTATTATTATTATTATTTTTCATCATCCTCTTTAATTTCCTTATCAACTTCACCATCCTTGTTAGAATCGATACCAGTTGTTAGCTCTGATACCCATTGTTAGGATCACTCAACAACGCACACCCTCGTTCAAGATGAACACAAAGAACATGAGAGAGAAAATAAAAGGAGGAATATTGGTTAAACGTTTTATTATTGATGACTTCAGATTTGTACAACAAGGAGAGAATACAGAGAAAGAGTAAGAGAAGTACATCTTCGTAGCAATGACTAATAGGGTATATACATGGTTTCAATTTACTAAATATAGCTTCTATACTAATATAATCTAACACATATATCTCTATCAAATATTTACCAAATATCAACCGTATATATCTCTATCATATATAGGCATCAGGCTCCATAGTTGACATTGTTCGAGTTATTTATTCAAGTTAATATGAACAAAGTAAACCCATCAATATGAAACGACTAAATTAATAAAAATATTCATAAACTTTATACTTTATCTAAAAAAATCTCTAAACTTTTAAAATTTCAATAGTTATCCTTAAATTAAAAAAAAATATATCATTTTGGAAAAAACATTAATACTATATTTTAAAAATATTAATTTTTAATAGTATTTCAAAAATACTATATTTAAAAATATACATGAAAATTTTAAAATAATAAAAATTCTCCAAAATGTAAGAATATTTTAAAATAATTTTTTATAAAAATTTAAAGTATTTTCGAAAATTTTTAAAAAATTGAAAAAAAAAATTATTTTTGAAATCTTTTTGAAGGTTGAACCATAATTTTAGCATTTAAAACTATTTTAAATTTTTTTTAGGTGCATAGATATTGTTTGAGATTTTTTTTTATTAATTTAATTGGAAAGAATAAGGGTTAAATGTAGAATAAATCATATCGTAAGATAATCTAGTGATTTACTAATTTGTTACTAAACCTATAATTTCATGTTTGATAGAAATCTATGATTTTATGGTTGGTTACCAAATCTATGATTCAGAATGTAATTTTCATTATACATACATATTTATAAATACACCAGCTCGTGACGTCTGTAGTTGCCTGCACCATTCAACCCAGCATCAACAACAAACTTTTTCTAGAAAGAGATCGAAGTTTCTAAAACTTTCCAAAATGACGGATGGAAAAAGTGGAGCAAATGTCTGTAAATATGCCCAAAATTTCCGAGGAAGGAGATGGGAGAATTACTCTGGTTCTGATTCAACCATCACTCCCTTGGAGGAAATGTCTGCTTATTGGTGGAAGACCTTCGCTGGGGATGAAGATCGACCGGAGAAGCCTCGGCGATGTGGAGTTACAGAGATGAGAAGTCCTCATTACTCTCTCTCTAGCCAAGATATGATTCAGGTTCGTACGTTATATATCTTGTTCTTTGATTCCACGCTTTTGGTTTGAAATCGAATACGCTTGATGCTTAGGCTGTACTGGAAGATGATTTCGGCTTATTGATCGCTGTTTCTTTAATATGATTGCAAAAATTGATGTTATGAAGGAAATTTTCGAGTCGATGGGTCAATTTGTCGATGGATTAAAGTTCTCCGGAGGTTCGCACAGCCTGTTGCCGAGGGAGTTTGTGAAAGAGGTGACGGAAATGGCTCATCGACATGACATTTATGTCAGTACGGGCGACTGGGCGGAGCATTTACTTCGCAAAGGTCCGTCGGGTTTCAAAGAGTATGTGGAGGTGAGAGAAAGAGGAATGCCATTAATCTTCTTGATTTTTATTCTTTGATCGAAGCTGGAGTGATAATTAGGAGTATGGTGTCTCTAGGAATGCAAGCTCATGGGATTTGATACTATTGAGCTTAACGTAGACTCGCTTGAAGTTCCTGAAGAAACTCTTCTGAGATATGTGCGCTTGATTAAGAACGGTGGCCTTAGGGCTAAGCCTCAATTTGCAGTGAAGTTCAATAAGTCGGACATTCCCGCTGGCGATCGAGCATTTGGAGCTTATATTGTTCCAAGACCTCGATCTTCTGGTAAGCTTTCAATTGCAAATCTCTTCGATTTCTTTATTCTAGGGCTAGGACTTACTTTTGGATTGTGAAAAAAAACCAGCCCGATACACATGTTGATTGCTTTAAATTTGTCATTTGTGAGATGATCACTCTTGATTGCTCTAAATTGTTCTTGGTTTCACCTTGATTAATTTTGGATTGTGAAAAAACCAGCCTGATACACATGTTGATTGCTTTAAATTTGTCATTTGTAAGATGATCACTCTTGATTGCTCTAAATTGTTCTTGGTTTCATCTTGATTACTTTTGGATTGTGAAAAAACCAGCCCGATACACATGTTGATTGTTTTAAATTTGTCATTTGTAAGATGATCACTCTTGATTGCTCTAAATTGTTCTTGGTTTCATCTTGATTACTTTTGGATTGTGAAAAAACCAGCCCGATACACATGTTGATTGCTTTAAATTTGTCATTTGTAAGATGATCACTCTTGATTGCTCTAAATTGTTCTTGGTTTCATCTTGATTACTTTTGGATTGTGAAAAAACCAGCCCGATACACATGTCGATTGTTTTAAATTTGTCATTTGTAAGATGATCACTCTTGATTGCTCTAAGTTGTTCTTGGGTTCATCATGCTGTCATTTGATCCTGCTACATAACTCTTGATGTGGTGATTCTCTCTTGGCTTGCAATTTACTAGAGATGAAACTGTTGTTCATAATTGTTGCTCTAGTTCTATTTTACTTTTGCATGCTTGATGTCATGAAATTGGGTCCATTTCATAACCTTTAATGGGTGATAGATATAAAGAATGTGGAATCAATGCTATTGTTCATGGTGCAATAAGTGCAATATAGATCACTTGCTTCAAACATATAAAGCATCTTTGTTGGTGTTGGTACCCTCTCTGAATCTCTCAAGGCCGTTCAACTAGTTTAACTTCCATTGACATGTAATGATCGGTTAGGAATCACGGACCCTCCACAATGGTATAATATTATCCACTTTGAGCATAAGCTCTCGTGGTTTTGGTTTTGGTTTCTTCAAAAGGCCTCATACCAATGGAGATGTATTCCTTATAAATCCATGATCAACTCCTTAATTAGCCAATGCAGGACTCCTCTCTCCCAACCATCCTCATGATCTCTATGGTTATTACTTTTAAATCTTGAGTTTTTATCACGATAACTTGTTGCAGAACTTGTAGAGGATGTTGATCTTTTGATCAGAAGGGCTGAGAGATGCCTAGAAGCTGGGGCAGACATGATAATGATCGACGCAGACGATGTCAGTAAACACACTGATTCTCTTCGAACAGACATTATTGCCAAGATCATTGGGCGTCTTGGCCTAGAGAAAACAATGTTTGAAGCATCGAATCCCCAAATGTTGGAGTGGTTTATCAATCAATACAGCTCAAAGGTATGAAAACAATATCTTCATACGGTTGCATCTACATTCCTTTACTCCATGACTGATAACACATTCTTGTTTGCCCTGTAATTAGGTGAATCTCTTTGTGGATCACTCCCAAGTTATGGATCTTGAGTGCCTCCGAGGCCGCAACCTGGGTAAAAACCACTCCTCCGTTCTTGGTTCATCCTACTTTTAAACTCCAGAGATTTATGTTCAAGATCGTATTGTTGCAGTGTGTTTTGGTGCTTAAAATGATCAATTCAAAAACTACTTTTGTAAGAATCTCTGTCAATAAATAAATTTTGTTTTTTAAAGCACCTTTTAAAAAATGTCATAATATCTTGTACCAAATACACTAGATATGTTCTAGTTTCAATGCCTTGGTTTCGAGTCCTTTATTCGACATTTGAAGATTTACCAATCTATTGGCATGACTAAATTTAGGGCATGACTCTGATACTATGTTAGATGAACACGACTCTCCACAATGTATGATATTGTCCACTTTGAGCCTAAGCTCTCATGGCTTGGTTTTGCTTTGCTTTGGGCTTCGCCAAAAAAGTCTTATACCAATGGAGATAGTATTATATTGTTTATAAACTCATGATCATTCTCTAAATTAGCTGGAACTTTTATCATCCAACACCTCTCTTCGAACAAAGTATGCCTCCCCTTAATCGAGGCTCGACTCCTTTGGAGTCTTAGTCATTTTTTACTGCCTTCGAGGAGGCTTGATTCCTTTTCTTTTGAAGTTTTTTGTTTGACATTTGAGAATTTACCAATTTTTTGTTCGACTTTTTGGAGTCTTTTGTTCGATATTGTTCACTTTGAGCATAAGCTCTTGGGCTTCCCCAATAGGCCTTATACAATGGAGAGAGTATTCTTCGATTATGAAGATCATTCTCTAAATTAGCCGATAGGTGTTTCATCATTCAACATCAATTATGCCTTTAAACTTGAAAAATTTTCATTTTTATTCTTAAAATTTGTTCTTTTTTAAAAACTCCAATTAGATGAAATTTGACGCTACAACTAATGAAAACGAAAAGACACATGAGTTGAAGTAACATCTATAGTAGGGTAAACCCTAATTTTATCATAGAGGTAAATTTATGTAAAAAAAGAAAAATAATGTGTGAACATTGGATATATAAATAATTGTGATAATATCTTTCTATTAAATTATATTTTAAATAAATGTTGGAAAATTAATATATACACTTAAAATACTTTTTTTTTTTTTTTTTTTTTTTGGTAGTAACGATAGGTATATTATTATTACAATTGAAATGACTTTTAAATTATTGAGTCGGTAAACAAACAATATATTGTTGATACAATAAAAAAAAAAAGAACAAAATTGGAATAATAAAAATAATTGGAAATCAAACTTTAATGTTTTTTTATATATTTAAAATTTATAAAAACCAAAAATATTTAAAATCTTTTTGATGCGGTGGACTTTTGATAAAAGAGCTCAAATGACGTTGGGCTTGGGCCTAAGCAAGAAATTCTGAGCCACAAAGTTGGGCCGGACCCATAAGCAGTAATCTCTATTGGGCCGATGTGATTATCAGACGGTCCAAAACTGTGTAGGAGGCGGCGAGTCACAGAAGCTTGACCAATCTAACGACGAGAGAAGAAAGAAGGCGATCGTCTCTGGTCCGCGAGCGAGGGAGAGAGCAGTGAGAAGGTAAAGGGGAAGCCGCGCCTGCAGTTCAATCATCAGAGAGATACGCTAAATTTGTGCGATTACACCCATTCATCTCTAGCGATTTGCGGGCTTTCTTTTCCTTCTCTTTTCTTTGTTCTCCGTTTTTTCTGCTACTTAAATCTCTGTCAATTCATCTACCAGAAGAACGTGAAGAAACTGAGAAGAAATTAGGGTTCTATTTGGTACGATGTCGAAGAAGAAAGGGAGTGGTAATACTATGACGCTTAAGGATTTCCATGGAGGTTCTATCCCTAATGATCTGCCTCTCCCGTCTGCTCCTGGAGTGTATGTCTCGATTAACCTTGATTCTTATTTTCGTTTTATTGCTTTTACAATACCCTTTACTTTGATTTCAGTTCTATGCGGAAGTGGTGTTTATTTGATTGTCGTATAGATTGTATGTTCATTCCTCAATGCGAGTTTGGATTGAAGAACTAGATCCGAGTTTTATAACCTCCTTGATCCTGTTTACTATGTTTCTTTTTGGTTTGTTAAATTAATTCCGAAGTGGACATGCAACTGCGATGGACTGATTTCGCTTTTTTTATTCTCTTTTTGAAGAACCGTCAGACCTTCAGATCGGACTAGTTTCGATCGCCCTACATCATGGGGGAACCCAATGAACAGGTCGGACCATCGGTCTAGGCCGCATTCATCTCCGGCAATCAGTCATTTTGATGACAAAACTCCATTTCTCGCTCCTGCTGCACATATTGGCCGAAATTTCGATGAGGATGAAAGGAAGCCTCTGGGCGGTGTAACACCTCCACGTCGAACTATCAGTGATGAGAGCATTAGGGTTCTGCCTAGTCGTTCAGAGTTGAAGCATGACTATGAATCAAGTGGGAGGCAGAGGATGGCTCCAATGTCGCAGTTTCCAACTTCTGGTGCAGTAAATTCGTACGCAGGGAGAGTTGGTGACGCGTTCAACTCAGGTGTTGCTTCTCAGAATTCAGGTGGAGGCAGCGGGATGGCCTTTTCTGGGGCTCATCCAAATGCTTGGCAAGTAAGGAAGGAGGTGGTTTCTGTGGTTAAAGAACATTCTCATTCTGCGTGGGCTGGACCTAGTGCTGTCTCAAAGCTTGCTCATGCTAGTGCTCTCGAAAAGGTGTCTTCAGGGAGATGGCAGTCACAAACGTCCGTTGGTTATCAAACTGATGTGGTCGTTGTCGCATCTTCTGAACCAGATATTAAAGTTCAGTCAAAGGGTTATGGTAGTTCCTCTGACAAGGTTGATGTATTGTATGGTAGGGAACTTCGTGATGCTTCATTAGCTAGGCATGCAGGAAGACAACTTGGCATAGATGATGGAACCGAGGGAAATAGACAAGCTTTTTCCGAGCGTGATAGAGTTGTAGTTCCTAAATATCATGCTGTTAAAGATAGATCTTCTAAAATGGATGTTTCTGTAGTTCAGCATTCTGAGCCTAATCAAATGGCTGGCGTGGGTCCAGTAGTCTCAGAACGCCCAAAGTTGAAATTACTTCCAAGAACAAAGCCTTTGACAGGTTCAGAACCCATTGCTCCTGATAACAAGCAGGTATGGACAGTTCATTTTATGGTTCCATACATTTTGCTTCAGATTTTACAGTTCAATTACTCATCCTTGTTACACGGTTATTCGAATGCAGATGATTCCTAATGCTGTTTCTGCTGAAAATGTGAATGAAGTGCATGGAAATTCAAATTATGTGAAACCTAGTTCAGCTGGTTCTGAGAGTGGGAAGGAAGGAATTGAGCGTCCAAAATTGAACCTGAAGCCCCGGTCACAACCCATTGAACAACCGGAAGGAATTAGGGGGAGAGACAGGTCAGTAACGCGAACTTGGCAATTTTTGACAATATTCTACTTTGTTTTCTATTTCTACATCCTACCCATTTTGAAGATGCATACTGTTGAAACAATAGGAAACTATTTGTTTAATTTTAGTTTTGCTTGCGTCTACTAGTCAAATACATCAAATGCATTAGTTAATCTTTTGCTTCCATGATCACCACTATAGGTTGTTTCATCAGCGTCTCTCCCCATTTCCCTATTGGGTTTTCTTTGTTTATATGAGCATTTTCGAATTTCATTGATGTGTGGATGTACATCTTAGCTGAATAAAGTATACACTTTAAAAAATCAAGAACTTTGGATTGGGATAAAAAAAATGTCATGAAGTGATCTACGGCTGTCCATATGCAATCGACCTTTGAGTCATCTTCTGTTTTGTTGTCAGTGAAGTCTAACTCCATTTGAATTGTTGAACGTGATACTAAAAGTTAAGTTTTCAAATTATGTGGGTGGATTTCCTGGGTTTGTTAATGCTAAAAAAAAAATGTCATGAAGTGTATCTACGGCTGTCCATATGCAATTGACCTTCGAGTCATCTTCTGTTTTGTTGTCAGTGAAGTGTAACTCCATTTGAATTAAAGTTTTCAAATTGTGGGTGGATTACCTGGGTTATTTTTAAATGATGTATCCCTTGTCTGGGCAACAAAGCATATTGGGGCTATGAGTTGAAGAGGACCACACTGACTTAGGAAAAGAGTATACTTGAAAAAAAAATATTTGGAATTTGATGAAGATGTTGGGTCATAAGCTCATTTTCCATTTCGGATCAAATCTGAACCTTAGTGGTGGACTTCTTGTAAGACTGAAATAGTAAACAAGTTCATGTTTTTGTTCGCTTAGCTGGTGGGTTCACTTCTAAAAGGTAACGTTTGAATCTTAAATTGTAAACTCCGATGGGCAAAAATTAGCTCTTGTAATATCAAACTTTTGGTATGTACCAGAAGACATAACCTCTCTGCATTTCTGGAGGGGAGTAGTTTATATATTTTTATATATTCCTTGTCTCTATGGTACAACTTGGGCTTTTCTGCTTAAAATTGGGGGATGTTTTAGTGGCACTTACCTTGCTCATCGAAGGTAAATGTCTCTTCCGTGTGCAGGATTTCTTTGTTTGGTGGTGCTCGCCCACGGGAGCAGGTCAGTTAAATCTTTAGTTTTTGGGTTTGTCCGCTACTTGTAATTATGATGGGTTCTGTGCACCAGTTATTGGATAACAAATTATGAGCTAAATTATAAAAAATACCCTTGAATTTTGCTTCATGTTTAAAAAATACCACTATTTATCATAAGTTGCAACATTACTCTTGACCTTGTTTTAAAACTGCTTATGTGAGTAGAAATCCATCAGAATATTGGATAAAAAATCGACATGGTGACAATTAAGTCGGAAAAGAATGCTATTAAAAACATCAACTTTTCCTTCAACATGCTTAACAGTTATTCTACTCCAAAGCTAGTTTTGAAGTCTGGCAACTTTTAAAAGAATAGGAGTATTTATAGTATCTTGCCTGTTCTTTATTGGCGTTTGATCGACGTCTCAGATCCCCCTCTTCTTTGTGGCCTCAACTTCCTGTTAATACCACTATCATTTTCTCAGGTTCTGAAGGAACGAGGGGTTGATAATACCACTAATAACAACCATGATCTTGTTCAAAATTCCGGAAGGTAATGAACCTTTCTTTGAATGTATTACTCTCTATGTACCCAAACAAAAAACAAAGAAGAAAGTTTTCGTAGCTGTCTTCGAATAGATTAATTATTACTTTTCATTAATTTCTTATACGATAAATAACTGTTCATGCCCTACTTTTTGTTGTCCGAAGGATTGAAGAAAACATTTCAAGAACTGAGAGGGTTCAAGGGCCCCCAGTTCCTGTGCATCGAACTGGAAAAACAGGGCAGGGTATGGAAGGTGAGAGAAGGGATAACAGGGCAGATCCAGAGATGCAAAGGAGGAATTTCTCTGATAATCGGAGGAGGGATAGAGACACTGAAAGACGACAGCAGCAGCAGCAGCAGCAGCAGCTCGAGCGGCCACCTTCTCCAGAGACATGGCGCAAGCCTGTTGAGCAGCAGCCAAAGCCTGCCTCGAACTCTACCGACGTGTGTCCTGGGAAAGTAGCTTCAGCACTTGAGCTGGCTCAAGCCTTCTCTAGGTCGGTTTCGGATTCAAACGTGGCCGATCGGGTTCCCAGTCAAAGCAACCTCCCAGGACGGCCTCAGATGCCTTTTTCACGGCTTATGGGGTCATCCTCTAGACCCCAAATCAATGGTTATTAAAATATCAACTGTTTTAGGTCCATGGGAAAGAAAAGAGGGAACAAACATAATTAGCAAGAAAAGAAAAGTTGAAACTTAGTTTGTTGTTTGGCATTGCTATATGGTAAAAGTAATTGTATTGACAGTGATACATAGGCAGCTTCATTAATTTCCATAGCTAAGACTTTCTGGAATGCTTATTCCACAGTATTGCAGAATCATAGTTGATCCAAAACTGGACGTCTGACTTTCTTATTATAATTATCGTCGTGTTGACAGTTCTTGTTAACTTATAAACTAGAAGGGTGAATTTCTCATATATGTTGGCAAGTTACACATCTGGTTTTCGTTCCTGGCTTCTAAGCGTCAGAATCTGTAGGGCTGTAAAAATCTTTTAGACTAGCCAAAATTTCGAGTTGATTGGGTTAGTGATTCGAGCAACCCGAACAGAATTCTCAACACGACTCTATTTTTGCTTTGGATTGGATTGTTGAATTATTTATATCATACTTATCCATAATATAGGTTATATTAATCACTAAAATTTCATAAAAATTCAAATATAAGATATTTACAAGTCACACGTTGTGATCATTCAAATATAAGATATTTACAAGTCACACGTTGTGATACACAAGGAGTTGTAAACTTGTGGTTCAATGATATTTAGTATCTTAGCGTTTGGAATGAGTACAAATGGGGCATTGAAAATGATATGACACTTGGTGGTTGGTTAGTCGCTTTGTTTTGTTTGAATGGCATAGCTAATATTAAAGGAGCTTGGCTATAGAAGTCATTGATGGACCAACAACATCTTTTAATTGACCACCTTGGCATTTTCCCATGCAATTTGTTGGAGTTATCGTACCAATTTTTTGGGCCAAAATTGGTGTGGTGTGGTGTGCATTTAATGATCGAATATTGCCCTTTCAATCATACTTTTAAAATTATTATAAGAATTTTTTTATTAAAGTTCCAAAAATGATGAAGTGAAGTAAGTTGATGCAAGTTTATGGATATGGATGATAGTTAATATGAGTCTAGAAAGTTAGGTAGAGAAAGTTACGAAAATCGGAAGGAAAATAAAATCCCGAAATAAGTTTGAGTTTAGCTTAATGTAGGAGAATACGCGTCAGATGGCCGCGATGGAACGCGACTGGCTGCGGTGTCAACACGTGTTGAGTGCGGGTTTGTTAAGGGAAAATTAGAATTAATCTGCGCTACGTAGGACTCTAAGGCATACCAATTCACTCTCAACCCACTCACTCGACTCAAAACCGAAGGAGATCCACTCAAGCCAACCTGACCCACTCCACGGCCCAGCCAATGTACTCCCCCTAGGCACATCTGTATACGCACGTGCCTAGGGGAGTGTATGCGCACGAGTGACTCTTTTTTGCTTTATTTGGCCTTTGATTATCAATTTTTCGTCTTGATTTCGGCACTAACCCTAATTTTACTTGAATTAGAACATACCAAAGAAATTTCAGAAATTTTAGAGCTCCTGGCACGTGGAAAAGCTAGCTCGGAAAGACATGTGCTATCCATATAAGTAATCACACGAACTTTAGGCAAGTAATACTTGTTGGGATCACTAGGACATGCTACATCCAAGCATTTCTTACCTTAGGTGGTTAAAAGATGCATGTTAAGGACTTCATAAGGGTGTTTTTGGGTGAGTATGTAATGTATGTATGTTTGGATAAAATTACCGTTATGCCCCTATGTTGAGATTTTCGAGAAGCATACTATTTTATATATTATGCAAATCTATAAAGAGAATATGCATGACTAGAATACGAGTTGAGCAATATGAATGAGTATGTTGTGCATGATGTTATTTTATATGCTTTCAGCGGTTTTAGGAAGGAGGATGACCTATTATGATTGACAAATGTTATCTCCCCGTTGAGTTTGTTTGCTTGTATGTTATCTCCTCGTTGAGTGGGTAGTAAGAGATTACCATGCAAGGATGATCTGTCTTGTGAGAGAACGTTGATCGTGCGGGTAACTAGTGGAGCTAGCACGTACCGAAGGGTAGTGCCACCCAACCTAGGACAACGACATAGCTTATAGGATGGGTTCCCTAACTAACTTCCTAAGGATGATGAACATGCTAACACTCACCATGTTGTCCTCACTTGGTGTGGAGCCTATGGAGGTAACATCTCATTTTCAGATATCGACAATCTTAAAATTTGGGTCGTGATCGTCGAAGTTGAGATTTTATTCATCAATTTGTGGTGCGAGTCAAACTATAACCCCACCCCTTAGCTAGTGGGATTCAAATTTGAGGGTGGACAAGACTCGCACCATATCATTTTTGTCGTGCGAAAAGATTGGATTCAAATTTGAGGGTGGACAAGACTCGCACCATTTCATTTTTGTCGTGAGAAAAATTCAACCAATCTTTTTTCGTTCAATATCTACTAATTTTTTAAACCAAATATACTTAGAGATGAACATAATTGGTATTTGATTATAATTTTAAACGTTAAAATTATAAAATTTATTTAAAGAGTTATTTAAAAATATTTTATCAAATCATAAAATTTAATTATATAACATTTAAAATTTTGGAGGAAAAAAAAATGAATGGCTCGAATCGTATAATGAGAAAAATATTTTATTTCATGCCGTACTTTTATTTTGTGAGGCTGACCACGATATATAACGGAAAAAAACGGACAATATCTACGAACGGTGAGATTGAACGGTTACACAAACCTTTGTTTTTGAATTGAAATTAAACACGGCTCTAAATTTCTAATGTTGTGTTTCTTTCATGATTGAAGGTCGTTAGTTGATTAGAAATTAGGTTAGAAAGGTTTGGAATTATAAAGACATTACGATAACCATTTATCAATTTTGTGGTGTGAGTTGGATCGTGTTCCACCATTTGACAAGTATTTTATGGTGTGTGTTGAATCGTGACCCACATCAAAATTTCAGATATACTAAAAAAAACTAAATTTCGGTTAAGATAAATATTGATTTGTTTTGATAAGAAAATCAGCTTAAACTCTCGTGAGTTTGACTTTAGTTTCACTTAAAAGTCCTAAATATCTATAGAGATATATTATCATTCACGGGAGGTGTATTGTGAGATCCCACCTCAGTTAGAGAGGGAGTCGAAACATTCATTATAAGAGTGTGGAAACCTCTCTCTAATGGATGTGCTTTAAAATCGTGAGGCTGATAGTGACATGTAACAAGTCAAATTAGACAATATTTGGTAGCGGTGAGCTTGAACGGTTACAAATGGTATCAGAGCCAAACACCGTGTGGTGTGCCAGTGAGAACGCTAACCATGAATTCGCACATCGGTCGGAGAGGGAAACAGAACACATTCCTTATAATAATCGATTATTATGTCCATAACACATTCACTTAATAAAAAAATCAACGAATTTATTGAATAAAAAATAGAATTTTAAAATCTTTTAATGTTTCTTACAAGTCATATCAAACGTTTTCCTCGTGGGTAGGGTACATGGTCCTGCTTGGCTGCCAAATTTGTACCTACGAAACATTGTTATCACAAACATATGGACACACTCTCTTCCTAACAAACAACAATCTTCAACACGCGTTACATGTTTCAATAATTAATTGAGTCTTTAGTTCATCGCTAGTAGATATTGTCTGTTTCGATTGGTTATATTACTATTTTTGTAAAAAATAAAAAAAAATTGTCGGCTTTGACTCATTATGTATCACCGTCAACCTCGCAGTTTTTAAAACGCGTCTACTAGAGAGAGATTTCTACATTCTTATAAAAAAAACGTTTCATTCCCGCAACTATAAAGAAATACTTTGTTCTCTTCTTTAATCGACGTGGGATCTCACAATGCAATTTTTTTAGACTTAAATAACCGTGACAATTCTCTACATCTTTATTTTTATTTTTTTTAGACGTGAACATATGTATTAATGAATGAAAATGAGTTAGACGTTGATGGAAGAATGAACGAAAATTTTGACACCACAAGTTAGTGATGGGTCACCATTTGACTCACACCACGAGTAGTTAGGTTAATATCTCTAAAATCTCGAGCCCTTCAATTTTCAAATTAAAATCCTAACAAGTTCAAAAAAGAAAAAAATCGATATTAAATAATAGAAAAAAAAAATGAAATTTGAAAAATTAATATAAAATAAAAGCTAAATTAATAAAAATACTCCTAAATTTTATACTTATGATTTTCAAAATTTAAAAATAAATAAATAGACTTACTGATAGTAAAAAAAAATAGCTATGAAATTTTAAAAATAATATTAACAAATTTTTTAAAAAAAAAATTATTATAATATAAGAATGAAACCTATATTTTCACCCCTCATCAATTATCTCAAATTTTTTTAATATTATTATTAAAAGTTTATTGGGTACTAATAATAAAAACATTAATTTTTTTATTTATAAATTTTAGGATATTAATAAAATTAATGAAAACTTAAAAAAATATTTTTGAAATACATTAATATATATATATATATATATTAATTTTTTTTAAGTCTAAGATACTTTTCAGACATTATTAAAAAATTTAAGAATACTATTAATTTTTTTAAAAAATTTATAGGTATAATAAATTAAAATCTAAACCGTCTTTTTTGACAGAATGAAATGGAAACGTTATCAATTGTGTTCCACTTTTGGAAGCTACCTTTTTTTTTTTTTAATTGCTTTTATAATATTAAATTCTCATCATTTTTTAAAAGATAAATAATAAAATCGTGTTACTATTCTTTTTCATATAATAATTTAAATGCACCGATTGTGACACGTTTTATTTTTAGTGATAATAGAAATGTATAATTAAAAGTAACGCATAAAATAATATCTTTTTGTCATAAAATAAAACCCATGCATTTTCTCTCCACCCGACACTACTCTGCTGACACGGCCAGTTGGCGTCCTTTTTTAAAATGATTCATAAATAACCCTTTAATAATTGAGCCCTAAAAAAACAAAAAAAAGTCTTTACGCCCCTACCTAATCCACCCTTTAACAATTGTGGGAGAGGTTTTCGGGATCTCACAATCCACCACCCTCGAGACCCAGTGCCCTTGCTGGCACTCGCTCTCCTCTCCAATCAGTGTGAGATCTCACAATCCACCTCCCTTCGAGGCTCAGCGTCCTCACTTGCACACTGCTCGATGTCCACCCCGAAAGTTCCCCCTTCAATCGATGTGGGATCTCACAATCCACCTCTCTTCTTCGCTCAGTGTCCTCGTTGACACACCACCCGATGTCT